TTTACCAGAGTATTTTTTAAAACAAGTATCTGTACTTTTACTCAAGTACGGAAAGTGAGTACTTTTGCCATCTCTGGTCGACTCACACTGCAGCAATCTGTAGTTGGCGTGCGGATGTTTTTAAACAACATGGAGGCCCGTCCTGTGAAGCTTCTTTTAAGTCCAATGCAAATCAAAGACACACTTGTCCTTTTGTGCTTAGCCGCTTTATTATATACTAGTGTATCATGGGCGGTTCTAGACAGGGACCAACAGGGTCCAGGGCCCCTGTAGATCATGTCTTGGCCCCTGTTATGGCCCCTGTACCAAAGACATAATACCTGATCTGCGCTGGAACAGACAGGGTACTTTGGATCTATTTCTTTTCTTTTCTTTTTTCTAAAATTTATTTTTATTTTACAAATTCTGTTTTACTAATTATTTAAAAACAACAAGGCGATAGCTTCAGTGGCATTGAAATAGAATCCAAGTTTTCATCTGCTAAACGATTTTTTTTCAAAACAAATAAGAAAAACAGCTGAATTTTTGCAGCTGAATTTATCAGTTTTTCTTTAGATTTTACAGAAAACGTAATTTTATAAATATTTCAAAAATATGTAAAATTAATAAATTATGAATATATATTGACCTAACAAGACATAGAATTTTAGTTAAACCTAATTGAATAAAAAAAAAGCAGCCTCTTAATATATTTGAATCCCTTACCCTGTTTTTTATTTCATGCTTTTCGGGCCCCCATGAAAACAATGCTGGCCCCCTCCTGGCCCCTGGTACATTTGGACTAGAACCGCCACTGTAGTGTAACCTCTTCAGAATGAGGACTGACCTGTAGATGTTTGGAAGGTAAAACCAGTGACGGCTTCCTTTAACCCTGTTTCAAACCATCTGTCCTCTCCGTCCAAAATCTGAGAACTTTGATTATTGAGCTGCTGGTGTTTTTGGCAGCCATCTTAGATTTAGTCTTTTTGTCTTTAGGACAAATTATTATTATTAAATTTAGTCACATTTTAGTCATTATTATATGTGATAGTTTTAGATGACTAAAACTCAAAAAAGTTTTAGTCAGTTTTATTTTGCACTTCATAAAACCATTTCAAATGACAACCAGATTCTTTACAAGACAGACAGCTCTTGCCTAGATACTATAATTCAAAGTTCATAACACGTCATCTAAAGGCGCTTTAGAGACAATTCAGCCAGATAGTCCGTATGGATTCTAAGG